ATCCGCTCCTCCACCCAGCACCCATCCGCTCCTCCACCCAACACCCATACACTCCTCCACCCAACATGCATCTGCTCCTCCACCCAACACCCATCCACTCCTCCACCCAACACCCATCTGCTCCTCCACCCAACACCCATCCGCTCCTCCACCCAGCACCCATAAATGGGCTCTTCTTCTCGACACCCCAAAAGGGTTCCCTGTGGGGCCAGACATCGAAAGTTCTTGGGGTAATAAGAGGACCCACCCCAGCTTCCCTGCATTAATCTCTTCTTGTAAATGTGATCTGCATAAAGCCATCAGGTCTTGTCCGTCTCGAGGTCTGTCTCTGGCCGGGATCCCATTCAGAAAAAAACACAGAAAGCAACGAAGCCTTTTCTGTCATCTCTACAGCGCACCTCCATCACCCGCCCATTCTTAAAGTCCTCGCTCCCGCTCGCCTCACTCTCCCCATTTCACAGCGCACAGGGCCTGATTCCCACGCCCTCCTCCTCCCAACCCTGAAGTCTAAGACCTCACCCTGAGGGAGGCTTGCCCCCCTCACCCCCACCCCCCTCCTCCAGGCTTACTCTCTAGATCTGTCTTCTTCTCCCGGGAGAAGGTGCTCTCCCTTAAGTCAAGCCAGTTCCCTCTGCCTTTCCAATTTTGCCGTCTTATTTTTTAATCTATTTTATTTATTTATTTATTTATTTATTTATTTATTTAATTGACTATGGTATCACATAATTGTCCTCTATTTTTTAAAAAATATTATTTTAAATATATTTTATTGATTTTTTACAGAGAGGAAGGGAGAGAGATAGAGAGCTAGAAACGTTGATGAGACAGAAACATCGACCAGCTGCCTCCTGCACACCCCCTGTTGGGGATGTCCTCAATCAAGGTACATGCCCTTGGCCGGAATCGAACCTGGGACCTTTCAGTACACAGACCGATGCTCTACCGCTGAGCCAAACCGGTTTCGGCTATTTTTTTTTTTTTAATATATTTTTATTGACTTCAGAGAGGAAGGGAGAGGGAGAGAGAGATAGAAACATCAGTGATGAGAGAGAATCATGGACCGGCTGCCTCCTGCACGCCCCCCACTGGGTATTGAGCCCGCAATCCGAGCGTGTGCCCTTGGCCGGAATCAAACCCAGGACCCTTCAGTCCGCAGGCTGATGCTCTACCCACTGAGCCACACTGGCAGGGGCCATTTTTTAGTCTTTTAATCTGTCCTCAATGCTTGTACCTGATCGCTTCAACCAACGGCAGCCGCCCCAGCCCCGGTGCTGCCCAGTGGAGGAGGGAGGGAGGGAGCTCCTAGCTCATTCCTGTTTGTTTCTGTGACATCAGCTCTCAGCCAGTCCGACGGGGCGGGGTGAGGGGGTACAGTAAAAGGGAGCGATGTACACGCCCCATTTACCTTCTTCCCTCTGCTACTCACCGGACCGCTGTCTGTGCCTGTGAGGTTTCTGTGCGTGTTCTCTTCTCGATGCCTTCTCCTTTCATCCTTCCGAATAAGCCGAGGGCTCAGTGCTGCCACCTGGGGAGCCGCTGCTGCCGGTCCATGCTGGAAATCTCAGGAGGCATCGCTGGCCCTGAGACAGCCAGGCCCTTGTGTGGAAGAGAGAGAAAAGGAAAAGCGATTGTCTTCTCCTCACCTAACACGATGACAGTTACCTCCGGGTCCTGTTCCAGCCGATCGGTGGGCTTCCGTACTGGTGGGCGGGCGGGCGTCTGAAGGCAGGAATAACCAAGAAACAATGTCAAATGCACGGCAAGGGACAGTCTGGCCGGTGCTGCTCAGTGGTTCAGCATCCACCTATGAACCAGGAGGTCCAGGTTTGGTTCCTGATCAGGGGCACAGGCCCGGGCTGCGGGCTCCATCCCCAGGAGGGGGTGCACAGGAGGCAGCCGGCCAGTGGTTCTCTCTCATCGCTGATGTTTCAATGCCGGAAGCCGATGCTAGCATGGCAGCAGGGCCTCCCAGGACGTGAAAAGGCCCGTGGCCCGCACGCTCCTCACCTCCCGGCGGGAACTAAGGGCCTTCCGTGCTTCCCGCTGATCTGGGCAGCCACCTCCCCCCGAGCGACCTGCATCCGCGATGGCGGCTTTTTGGTGCTTAGGGGGGTGGTGTGTAAGTCACTAGTGGCCGGGGGACGGCCAGGAACTTGGCAAACCCTGTTCAAAGCGAAACGTGGGAGCACTGTGTTCGCCAGCCCCCTCACCGCCCAGGCTGCAGCCACTCGCAGCCCCGAGAGCGAACGGGCTTATCGCGGGGGAAGCGGGGAAGGCGGCTCCCCACGCGGATTCACCTCCCCCTCGAGGGAGCCGCGGCTCCGCTGTGACTGTTCATTGTGCCGGGGCCTCACAGACAGGCTTTGTGGGACCACAGCTCGCCGTGGCCGGCCACACCAGGCGGTGCGCTGGGGGAGGAGTTGGCCTCCGTGCACAGCCCAGCGAGACCCTGCCGAGGAGCCGCCTGCACGGGGAGAGCCAGGTGCGGGCTGCGCACACAGGGGTGGCATCCTCGTCCTGGCACCCACAGTGGCGGCATCCTCACCACGGTAGCAGGTAGCAGGGCACCTTCGGCGTTAAGCCCCTGTAGAAATCCTATAGAATAAGGAGGTGATATGCAAATTAACCTTCACGCCCTCACAACATGGCTGCCTATAACCAGGCTGCAGGGGGCTTAGTGAGGGACGACCAAACGACTGAACAGTAGGCTGCGTGGGGCAATGAGGCCAGCACGGGGACTCAGAGGGGCGACCAGGACAGCAGGAGGGCCACTGGGGGGTAACCAGGCCAGCAGGGGGGCGTGATGTTGTGCAGGACGGGGGACTGGGACAGGGACAGGGACAGGGGTCGGGACGGGGCAAGGACGGCCACCACGATTGCGAGGTGCAGGCCCGGTAGAGGAGTGAAGCTGAGGCCACACTCTGGCTTTCCATAAACCGCACCGGCCTCTCCTTTTTCTCTGAAACCCAACAATAGCTTTCTTAGAGCAAGTGGTGACACAGTAGCTACAACAATCACAGTATTTGATAAACACAACGGCAGCCGATGGGACTGCCACCCGCGGGATGAAAAGTGCTTTGTGCTGCGGGGACGGTGCTGAGCGCAGAGAGGGGGAGGGGGAGGTGGGGCACTGGCTAGGGCGGCTGTGGCTTTAGGAGGCGTCTCACAGCTCCCCCCGCCTGGCCTCCTAGGTCACCCGTGTGCGTTAGTAACCGTGTGTGCTGTAGGTCACCCTGCGTGTGCTGTAGATCACCCGTGTGCCGTAGGTCACCCGTGTGCCGTAGGTCACCTGTGTGCCATGGGTCGCCCCGTGTGCCGTAGGTCACCCGTGTGCTGTAGGTCACCCGTGTGTTGTAGGTCACCCGTGTGCTGTAGGTCACCCCGTGTGCTGTAGGTCACCCGTGTGCTGTAGATCACCCGTGTGTTGTAGGTCGCCCCGTGTGCTGTAAGTCACCCGTGTGCTGTAGGTCACCCGTGTGCTGTAGGTCACCCGTGTGCCCCGTGTGCCGTAGGTCACCCCGTGTGCTGTAGGTCACCCGTGTGCCGTAGGTCACCCATGTGCCATAGGTTACCCCGTGTGCCGTAGGTCACCCGTGTGCCGTAGGTCACCCGTGTGCCGTAGGTCACCCGTGTGCCGTAGGTTACCCCGTGTGCCGTAGGTCACCCGTGTGCCGTAGGTCACCACGCGTGCTATAGGTCACCACGCGTGCTGCACTGGAAGTGTGGACAGTGAGTCTGTAATGACTGATGCACCGTTCAGGGCGTCCTCAGGTGCTTGCTGCTTCTCTCCCAGGCTCCCCCAGGCAAGATGTCTTGTCAATCCCCACCGCCTTCTCCATGGAAATGAGGGTGCAGAGTAATCATTTCCAGGTTTTAGACAGCGCCTGGGAAGACACATGGGCACTTCTTTAATTATTGTCAGTTGAACTCAGGGCCATAGGCGGAGCCACGCCCTGGGAACATGCTTCCCAATGAGGCCGGACACGTTATCAGCACTGACTTACCTTTGGCCAGGTGTCGGGAGCGGGCTTTGATATGTAAATCCAGGCAAGCACCAGGAATGCAAATAAGCTCCGTTGAGCCTAAGTTCTGGTGATACTTCCTGGTATTGGGGTATAAAATAAATGCGCTGTGTGGGCTCTGGGTCCTGTCTCTCCATCGTCCCACCCGGCTCCCAGCTTTAAATCTATTTCTGCATCTTTCTTTCCTTCTTCCTTTCTTTCTTCTTTCTTTCTTCTATTTTCTCAGTCTCTGGCCGCTTCCACTTAGAACTGGTTCGTTCATCTCTCTTTCCGTGCTGGATGAGGAAAAGGGAGACCCCCGCCATGTCTGGCCCCGCACTAGGTGGCAATCTTTTTTTTTCCTTTTGCCGTTTTCACCCCGGTAATGAGCACGTGATGATGGGATAATTATGTTGTCATAAAAAGAAAGACTGAGAGAAACTACAGGTGAAACGGGGCGTGGAGAGTGGATGCTGAGCCGCATCCCTCAGAAACGCCGCTGAGTCCGGCACAGTTCACACCAAGCCGCGACGCGGAGGCAGCGCCCTCGGTGGGGCCGGTGCTTCCCTGTGGCTGTGCCGGGGTTCGGGTTCCGGGGACCCCCGGGGCCACCTGGGAGGGGCCCGGCAGTCCCAGCAGAGAGCACGTGAGAAAGAACCTTACTGGGAAAAGAAGCCCACGCGGGTTTGGACTCCAGATAAAACTCCTGCTGCCTCCGACTGCCCGGCCTCAGAGGGGGTGGGAGGGAGGGGGGTAGGGGGCTGGGATATTAACTTGATAACATACACTCGTATCTATAACCCACAGGCAGTCTGGGGTGGTGGAGGCCTGGCGGGGGGTGAGGGGCGGGGAGGAGGACTCGATGTGGGTGAAGGGGAAGCGGGGGCATCAATAATGCTGTCAATGATAGCCGCCGTCTCCTCAGGGAGACCCCTCAGGCCTCGGGGAGCCCCCCCTCCCCCAGCCTTTATGGAAAAGACATCTCACAGGGACTCGGAGGCTCAGCGGCTTTATTGACATTGGAACGGAGCCTCGTGCGGGCGGACTCCGGGCTGCTGGCTGGGCAGAGGGCAGGCCGCTTGGGGGCCCGTGTACTCCGCTCCGTGTCCCCGCTCCGGAGGCTCCCGGTCACGGCCGTGTCTTCCCTGAGCTGGCGGCCGGGGCCACGGGGGTCGGGACAGAGGGCAGGTGGCCCTTCCCCCCTCTCAGCAGAGGCACATCCTCTGCTGCTCCCACAGGCTCCGGGGTCCCCGTGGGCAAAGGGACCTGTGCCGCCACCATCGCCGCGGAGACGGCCGAGGGCAGAGGCGGGCAGGTTACCAGCGAGGGCACGCTACCCGCCCCCCTCCGCCGTGCTCATGGGAGGCTGCTCAACGGCCAGGCCTGGCACCTGGCACCCACCGCTGGCCGCCCCCTCCGGGCACCGGCCCCGCGGTTCACAGCGCAGCCGCGCGGACCGGCATGAATGTCGGCAAGCAAACGGTAGATTTGGTGGTATTTCCAGAAAGCAGCTTCCGAGAGGGCAGGTGGTGAAGTGCGCCTCTCGGGGGTGCCGCACCTGACTGCCATTCTGGAAAGAATGGTGTACACGTGTGCGCCTATGTTTGCGTGCACACGTGTGAGTGTGCGAATGTGCGTGTGCACATGTGTGCGTGTGTGCGGGAGAAGGGGAGAGTGGCGGACGATGCTGGACGTGGGGCTCCGGAGCGGCTACACGTCGAACCAGTGGGCGCCCATGCAGGCGCGGCTCCACTCGCAGCTGCAGTTCCAGCACCACTCCAGCTGGCACTGGGGCTGCGGGCACTTCATGTGCATGCATCCGCCTGCGGGCAAAGCACAGGCGGGCTGCTGAGGGGCCGTCCGAGGGCACCGCCCAGCCCGGGGCGGTCTGCCTCTGTCCCACCGGGGCCGGAGGGACCACCGAGGCCGGCTCCCTATGGCAGGGACCCCTCCCTCCCTCCCTCCCCGGCCTGGCACCCAGGGGCAGGAGCCCTGATGGGATCGGGAGCACCAGCGGGCAGTCCGGCACTGTTCCTGTGTGGGCCGGGCAGTGGCCAGCTCACCCGCACCGCGGGGCTGGCGTTTTAGCGCCGTGACCGTAGGCAGCCAGGCGGCAGGACCTGCTCAGATAGGGCGCCGGCACTGCCATGGCTCCCAGGTCCCGGCCGGACTGCCAGCCACGAGGCCCGGAGCCCGGCCACCACGGCCGCCCCGGGGAGCCCGGGACTCACCGTTCTTCTCCACGGGCACGCGGCAGCGCGGGCAGGGCTTGGTGGTCTGCTGGATGGTCTCCCGGGAGCGCTCCTCCCAGCGGGCCTGCTCGGCCGCCCGCGCGTCCACCCGGTAGGCCTGCGGGGGGACGGTGTCTGTGAGGGCGCGGCGGCCGGGCACCGGGCGGAGGAGCCCCGTGTATGGCGGAGGGTGCGGGCTGGGGGGAGGGCGGCCCTGGGGGCGGCTCAGGAGAGGCCAGCAGCGTGGAGCCCTCCCCGAGGCCGTGGCCGCACCGCCTGGCGCCGGACACAGGTGTCAAACCGTCCCCAGTGACCACAGACCAGCCACGGGTCCGAGCTCACAGGCCGGAGTCAGTGGGTGGGGCGGGCGGGGCCGGGATGTGAATCTGGACGCGCCGCGGGGGGCTGTGCGGCACTGGGAGCCGGGGGCGCCCTTCCGCTTGGGCCCGAGGAGGCGCAGGCTCAGCTGGTGTCTCACCCGCCACGCAGCACGGACCTGGGTGGGGTTCCGTGTGACTCTGTGCCCAGGAGACGCTGCTAACATACATGTAAGAGACCTCACACGCGTGTTTCTTCCTCTGCGACAGCGGTTTAGGCAATCACCGGACCAGTGAATCCTCGTTCCAAGAGTCAGTTTAAATCGTTTTCCAAAAGGGCCAGATCCCCACCATCCACCACCCAGCGGCTTCCCTCAGTGAGAGTCTCAGGGGTGTCCCTGCTTTGAAGGGAGGCCTGCCCCCCGCCCCAAACTGACCGCCCAGACAACACTCACTTCCCCCGGCCACCGCAGAACAGCCACGACTTCCTGGCCACGGCCACGGCCACGGCCACGGTCACAGCCACGGCCTTGCCTGCGCACTGCCTGTGAGAGCCCGCCCCCTGCTGGCGAGCCGGGCCACTGCATCCCCTCTCAGGCAGAGGTGTCCATAAGCTGGCTTTGCTAGTCTCACATTCTTGAAACGATTACTGTGCCTCTGGACACACACACACACACATCTCGGGAGAGAGGCATCAGGCGGGGAAGTGATGGAGCCCTGCGAGGCGGGCGGGCAGTGGTGTGGGCACGCCTTGCTGAGTGGGACCTCTGGGCGGCGCTCTGAGTGGTTGGAAGAATGGCTCTGAGGTGACAGCACAGGGGGCTCAGTGACAGGGCAGCACGGCTTCCCGATGCTCCAGAGGGGAGGGGAGGACGTGGTGTCCGCCTGCCTGCTGAGCGGTCGGTGGTGACAGGGGACCACGTGTGTGCGTTCAGCAGCCGGGCACTGCCTGGCCAGGCGGCTGGTTGGCTGGAGCAGGAGGCTGGCAGCAGCCAGGCGCTCCGCTCCGTCCATCCTGGCCCGGCCTCGGGCCCTCAGGCCGGCGGGCGGTGACAGACACACGGGGTCCTGTGACACGTGACGGGCCCGTGGAGACCAGCGTGTCAGGTGAGCGCCCTGCCTCGTGGGAAAGGGGTGCTGGGACAAAGCGGGAACCACCTGCCCCTGCAGACGACATGCATGTGCGCCCGGTTCCCACCACGGAGGGCTGAGGGCTCCCAGCAGCCGGGACCCAGCGTGTTAGCCAGGAACGCTCCCGTGGAAACAGCCCTGCTATCCTTGAAAACGCAAACACTCCTTTCTGTCATTTCGCTTGGCCTCAAAACTTCCCACTTCCCGCAGGGAGGCAGCGCCACCTGGTGGAGGAGAGGCGCCCCGCCCCGCTTCCCCTGCGCCGAGGGACAGCCTGGCAGGAGCCTCCCTGGCATGTCAGGCACCGAGGCGTTTCTGCCGAGTCTAGCCCCGCGGTCAGCAAACTCATCGTCCACAGAGCCAGATACCGACAGCACGACTGGAATTCCTTTGGAGAGCCTCACTTTTAAACTTAAACTTCTTCTAACGCCACTTCTTCAAAATAGACTCGCCCCGGCCCTGGCGTTTGGTGGGAGAGCCGCATGTGGCTCGCGAGCCGCAGTTTGCCGACCACGGGCCTAGGCAAGACCCTTCTGCGGGAGAAGCACGGGGCAGCGGGCTCTGGGGGGAGAGGGGCTGCGGTGGATCCCCGTGCACTCTGACCTGCTGGGCTCCTCACCCGTCCCTGCACCCGGGGCACCGGCACCCCACCTGGCAGTCTCAGCCCCGCCGGGCCGTCTTCTGGAAGGATCCATGGCCCAGGAGCTCGGCCCGCCCGGCTGCAGGCTCCCGGCTGGGCCTTGTGACCTTCCGGACGGAGCCCTCCTCACCACCCCCTGAGCCCCTGGAGGCCAGGCTCCTTACCTGAGCGGCGCCCCCCGGGGCGGCGGCCAGGGCGCTGCATGCCCCCTCGTGGAAGGCGTCCTTACAGTCCCGGCAGAAGACGAGCTGCGGGGAGACGAGAGCACGCGTGTCAGAGGGTGGTGCCAGCTGTGGGGGCACGCGTGTCAGAGGGCGGTGCCAGCTGTGGGCACACGCGAGTCAGAGGGCTCTGCCAGCTGTGGGGGCACATGCTTGTGTTTGTGTGACTGGGTGTAACTGTGTGTGTGAATATGTGTTTGTTACTGGGAGTGTGACTGTGTGTGTGTGTGTGTGTGTGTGTTACTGTGTGTGAGTGTGACTGTGACCGAGTGTAGCTGAGGGTGGTTGTGTATTTGTTACTGTAAGTGTGATTGTGTGTGTCTGTGTAATAGTGTGTGCTTGCTACTATGTGTGGTTGTGTTTGTTACTGGGAGTGTGGCTGATGTGGCTGTGTGTGTCACTGTGTGTGAGTCTGTGAGTGTGGCTGAGTGTGGCTGAGTGTGTGTGTTGCTGTTTGTGTGGCTGTGTGGCCCGTGCTCAGCAGGGCTCACTGTGAGATCGCGCCCGCGGCTTGCTGTGGAGAGGGCTGCGGGGCTGGCCGGTGGCTGAGTCAGGACGTGCGGGTCGCGGGGGGGGACACCCGGGGCTCGGTAGTTTGTCAGAAGAAAGAGGTCTTTTCCAACAGAGACATGCAGCCTCTTCACACGGGCGGAGAGCCAGCGACGAAGCACAGCGCGGAGCGGCGGGAGCCGGGGCTCAGCCCACCCTGCGCTGTGGCCACAGGCACGCAACCAGCGAACCGATGCCGCGGTGACTGCCCCGAGGCCCTGTTCCTGAGCCCCACGGAGAGGGGCCGCGGACATAAGCCCAGCAGGCAGCGGCCTCCCACGGAAATGGCTCCAGTCTCCACGGAATGAGTATCAGGGGTCGGATTCGATTAAAAAATGGCCAGGCTTTAAATTCCATCACCCAGAACCCAAGACTGTGCTTAGGCCTCCAGTTCCCAAACTGTGCTCCACGGCACCCCGGGGTGCCACAACGAGCTCACGGGGCGCAGTGGTGTCGGTGAAGGTTTGAGGCGCCCCCAGGCACACTCGACACCCGCTGGAGGCTGTGTGATCATGGACAGAGGCAGGCGTGGTGTCCGGGCCCCTCGGCCCGCCCTCCTCGTAACGACACCCCATGTGTGCGAGGCGGGGCTGTGAGGGCTCCTGCATGAAGACGTCAGCCAGAAACCACGCAGGAGATGGAGCTACTTGAGAGCAAAATAGCCGAAACCGGTTTGGCTCAGCGGTAGAGCGTCGGTCTGCGGACTGAAAGGTCCCAGGTTCGATTCCGGTCAAGGGCATGTACATTGGTTGTGGGCACATCCCCGGTAGGGGGTATGCAGGAGGCAGCTGGTTGATGTTTCTCTCTCATTGACGTTTCTAGCTCTCTCTCTCTCTCTCCCTTCCTCTTTGTAAAAAATAAATACAATATATTTTAAAAAAGAGCAAAATAAAAACATTGTTTTTCAATTTATATGAACTGCTTTCCCCTCAAATGACTGTTGAGTCACTAAGGCATCCATTCTTATGTTATTTGGACCAAAACAGTTATTGCTTAATTTTTTAACAAATAATGTTTAAAGCCTTTACAACATCACAAGAGCAGCACACCCTGTTCTGCTGGTTGAGCTCCCCCCTCGCTAGTCTGAGCAGAAGCAGTGAGTGGAAACCGTGTTATCTGAGCTGCACGGGGTTCGCTCTGTGCGTCTGCGTGGCTGGTCTGCAGCCCGGCTGCTTCGTCCGAGCCGGCGGGTGTGTCTGTGACGGGATCTGGAGGCCTCTAGGCCTGTGACCAGGTCCTTTCCTGGAGAGACACCCAGGCAGGCACACGGGCCTGGCTCAACCACCCAAAGGTTCAAGAGCAGGGCTGAGGCCACACACAAAGAGAGGCCGTCGTGGCCAAAGCTTCAGCGACACCCGAGGCACCGAGGCCCTCCTGGCGGATAGTCCGGTGGATTCGGGTCGTGCCTACCAGCCCACAACCACAGAAGCCAGCTCCTTGCAATCAATCTCTCTCTCTGGGTAAGTTGATAGAGATACAGATAATGAGGTATCCATATGTCTGTGTGCATCTATAGATCTGAGGGGACATCTGAGCATATCTCTATCTACATCTACATCTACATCTATATATCTATATCTATATATCTATATCTAAATCCACATAATCTATCTCTCTATCTCTATCTCTATCTCTATTCTATATAATAAAAGGCTAATATGCAAATTGACCAAACTGTGGAACAATGGGTCGCTATGACATGCACTGACCACCAGGGGGCAAATGCTCCTGATGGTCAGTGCACTCCCCCTGTGGAAGTGCCACTCAGCCAGAAGCCAGTCTCACGGCTGGAAAGTGCAGCAGTGGTGGGAGCCCCCCCTCTCTGCAGCATCACTAAGGGTCCCGGACTGTGCGAGGGCACAGGCCAGGCTGAGGGAACCCCCCTCAGTGTACAAATGTCATGCACCGGGCCTCTAGTCTCAATATAATTCCCAAATGACTCTGTCTCTCTGCTGGGATCCTCAGTTTCCATAAAAAATTCCATGGTAGTTAATTTTTTTAGGTCAGTTATTCTTTTCAAAAGAACTGATGTAGCCGGGACCGGTTTGGCTCAATGGATAGAGCGTCGGCTTGGGGACTGAAAGGTCCCGGGTTCGATTCCGGTCAAGGGCATGTACCTTGGTTGCGGGCATATCCCCGGTAGGGGGTGTGCAAGAGGCAGCTGATCGATGACTCTCTCTCATCGATGTTTCTAACTCTCTATCTCTCCCTTCCTCTCTGTACAAAATCAATAAAATATATTTAAAAAAAAAAAAAAAAAAAAAAAAAAGAACTGATGTAAAAAAACCACAACTATCTGAATCTTCTACATGATTTGCAAAACTGTCGTTCAAATTCCTTTCCACGTTTGTTTTTAATTCCAAGTACCCGCAGGACAGCTCCTCTGGGAATTCAACCCCCGGACCAAGGGCATCCCCACCAGGGGGCGCCGGTTCCCTTGATCCGACAATGAACTTGGTAATTCAATAGTTTTCTCTTTGGGCTTGGCTGCCTGGAGGCTGCTGCCACCATCCCACTCAGCCGTTACACTGAGCTCACGCTAGGTGTGCAGGGAGGTGTGCAATCCTGAAACCTCTCCTTATTAAATGATAAATTCAATAGCGTGACTTTTTCTTTTTCTAGTAGGCAATAGTCCACTGTTCGTACCGTGCAAGTCCTGTTTTTGCCTGGCAATGACTATGTGTTGAATAGTCACGTTTAGGGTAAATAAAATCTTGGACCTGGACAAAGTGTAAGGCAACAGCCTATTATAGTATGTGACATCACACAGTAGATACTTGTATTTATATATATATATATATATATATATATATATATATATATATATATATTAATTTCAGAGAGGAAGGAAGAGGGAAAGAGAGATAGAAACATCAATATGAGAGAAAATCATTTATCAATTTATCAGCTGCCTCCTGTATGCTCCCCCCTGGGGATCAAGCCCACAACCCGGGCATGTGGCCTTGACCAGAATCGAACCTGGGACCGGTTAGTCCTCAGGCCGACACTATCCATGGAGCCGAACAGGCTAGGGCGACACTTGTGTTTTAAAAACCAGGTACAGCTCAGTGTTTGGAAGCAGAGCCTCGACGCCTCAGAGCCCTTTCTCCACGCATCACCGGTGTGACCCTCACATCGCTTCACATTAGCTTTCCTGCATCGGAGAGAAGCATTGTGCCTGCGAACAGTTCGCACTGCCTCTGCACACAGGACATACAGCCAGTGGTGTTTCAATAGAATTACGGTTTTTATAAACAACACAATTCCGTAGAAACCAAGGTGACAGTGCAGCCCTCGGTCCTGAAGGCAGGCCGCACCGGAGAGGAAGTGCCGTGTGAGCGCCCGAAGATAGGGCTCGCGGGGCCCGGCTGTCAGCCTCCGGGACGTGACGGAGCTGCCCGCGCCTGGCTCCCTCCCGAGCCAGGACCGTCACCGTCACCCCTTCCCCGGCCCAGCTCCCCGAGCGGCCCAGGAACTGCCCGTCACGCTGATCATGCTAGAGCGTGTCAGCAGATAGTCACTTGATGGACATTTGAGGCTGATTTCCCGTGTGCTCGGGCTGGAGACGCACAGAGGAGAGGCATGCACGCATTCTCGCTGGAGACATGACAAGGAGCCCAGAGAGCAGCTTCCGACGCTGTTGGCACACACGAGAGCCAGGCAGGGCCGACAAGGAAGGACCCTCAGAGTGAGGGCACCGCCCTGGTCCCTGTCGGAAAGCCGGACACCTTTGTGCCCACCGTTACATCTGCCATGAGAGACCTTTATCGTGTCGTTTGTTTCTCCTCTGCGGCTCCGACGTTCTTCTCAAAATCACAGGCAGAATCGGATGCCATGGTGGACCCCTGGCTTCCTCAGGGAAACATGTCCAGGCGTGGCGGGTGCAGGTGAGAGAGAGACCAGGGAGCATGGCTCCGTGGCCCGTGGCCGTGTCCTGGCCGTGACTGGGAGCAGCGAGGCTCACCCGGAACCGCCCAGGACAGCCATGGGACCCTGGGGAGCCGGGACAGGCGTGGCGTATGGCGGGGATGCTCTCTCCCAGCCTCCCGCCTCAGTCTCACTCTGCTGGACCATTTAAGGACAATTCCTGTGGTGATGGTCCCAGCCCATGCTCTGGCCTTCGCCCCGGGCTCCCTTTTCTCTGAAGGCCGGCAGGATCCGGCTGCAGGCGGGGCTCCTGTAAGCACCGGAGGTGACGGTCACCCACCAGGTTCACCGACCAGCGTCCCGGGGGCGACCTGCTGCAGGTGCCGCTTCCCTTCGCCGTCTGCGCGGACGGCTCGGGTTCCAGCTCAGTTTCGCGCTCCACGCAGGCGCCCGGCCCGGACGGAGCACTTGGCTCCTTCCAGCGACGGAGCCCGGGTCACAGCGCTCTCACGCCCGCCATTCATTAGCGCGTGTTCGCAGACGGCCATTCATTAGTCAGATGAGCAGCATATGGCCTCGGTGCTGCTAACGGGGCTCCAATCCTGTGACCT